TCCTGATCCTCCTGCCTCAGCCTCCCAAGACACTTGGATTACAGGTGGGGCTCAATGCAATCTCTATGAAAATCTTGATAATGTTTTGTGAAGAAATAGAAAAATCCATCCAAAATTTCAAAGGAATTTCAAGGGATCCCGAATATCCAAAACAATTTTAAAATCAAGAACAAAAGTTGTAGTGCTCACACTTGCCAATTTCAAAACTTACTACAAAACACAGTAATCAACACAATGTGATACCAACATGAAGGTAGACAAAACAAAGGAACAAAAACAAGAGTCCAGAAATAAACCCATATACGTATGGCCAAATGATTTTGTATTGATGATGATGAGGAGGAGGAGGAGGAGGAGGAGAAAGTAACAAGTGTTGGTGGCAGAGGATGTAGAGAAATGGGAATCACCATGCAATGTTGATAGTAATGTAAAGTGTTGAAACCCGTTTGGTGGAAAAGTTAAACATAGGATTTCCATATGACTCAGCAATTCCACTCCTAAATTTATGCCCACCCCAAAGAACTGAAAACAAGGATTGCAACAGGTACATGAATGCACAGGTTCAAAGAAAGCAACACTATTCATAATAGCCAAGAGGTGAAAACAGCCCAAATATCCATTAACAAATAAAGGAATAAGCAAAATACATTATACACGTACAATGGAATAGTAGCTGTCTATAAAAATAAATGAAGCACTGATATATGTTATAATCCGAATGAATATGGAAAACCTTGTTAAAGAAAGAATGCAGACACTAAAGGACTAAATGTATGATTCCACTTATATGAAATATTCAGAATAGATATGAAAGGCAAGTGACTCACCCAAGATGGAAATTCAACCAAGAGGTTTTATAGGGGGGCTGCCTGAAGGAGGGGAAGAGAGCAGCGGCCTGAGCCTATAAGCTTCAGCTTATGAAGGGTTGCTTAGGAGACTTGGCGAGTGCTGATTGGTAGGATGACTCTGGAATGAGCCAGCCATTGGTTGAGAAAACTTTTGACTTTGGCGCCCTTCAGAGGGGAGGGGGAGGGGTAAGGGATTACTTGATGTTCTTCTCCAGAGAGATGGAAATGTAACTTCAGCGGGGAGAAACCTGATGGGGGAAATAAAGCCAAAGGCAAGGTCTCCCACACACCCAACAAGGTAAATCCTTAGAGACAAAAAACAATTGTTCCAGAGGCTGGGGGAAGGCAGTAATGGTGGTATGGTTTGGATATGAGGTGTCCCTCGGAAGCTCACGTGTGAGACAATGCAAGGTTTGGAGGAGAAATGATTCGGTTATAGCCTAATCAGTGAAGCTATAACTAATAGCTAATCACTGAAACCTTAGGGTGTGGCTGGAGGTGGGAATTGGGGCGTGGCTTGGGGTATATATTTGTATCTGGAGATTGGGGTTTCTCTCTCTGTGCTTCTTGGTCACCATGAGGTGAGCTGCTTCCTTCCACCACACTCTCCTGCTGTGGTGTTCAGTCTCACCAGAGCCCTGAAGAATGGAGCCAGCCTTCTATGGACTAAGACCTAAGTTTCGCTTTCCTGTACTTCCTCTTACCCGAATTCCCCCCTCCCCCATTAGTGACCTAAGCTAATAACCCTAAACCAATCCCAGAAGGACACAACCCCTTGACTCTGGAAAGTCCCTCGGTGCCATCGACCTAAGCCAATCCCATGCTATTCCCACCCGCCTGGCTCTGTCGCAAGCACCCCAAGCCCATCCCACAGCGCCACGGCTACACCTCCAAACCCCCACCCACAAAAGCTGAACACCCGAACATCTGGTGCCTCTCTCCTCTATAGAGAGATGGCCTTTATTTGTCAGCTTTGACAAATAAACTTTTGTGTGGATCTCTGCCTGGTGTCCGTCCTTCATTTCTCACTCGCCCTTCTCTTGCTCTCTCACTTTCCTTTCAGGGAGAAACTACTTAATGGTCAGGGGATTTTACTTGGGAGTGATAGGAATGTTTTTCAACCAGACAGAGATAGTGGTTATACAGCAATGTGAGTGTAATTACAGCCCTTGAATTGTTCACTTTAAACTGGTTAATTTTATGTTATGTGAATTTCACCTCAAAAAAATATTAAAAATGAAAAAGCACCTAAAATATCTTTTTTCCGTAAATTTGCTGTTTCAAAAAAAAAAGACATTTTATTAAACATTTATTTGAACACAAAGATAAACTCCAAATTAAATAATTCCTTCTGGAAAAAGACCCAGAAAGAGAATACAGGCTGTTTATGACTCATTGTTAACTTACAAATGGTGCTGAATCCTTGCCATGCTTCTGCATAATGTGGATCCATCAAGTGTTTGATAATGAGCAGTTCCTCGGAAGTAATTTTTCCAAAACAGGGAGTGCCTTCCATGAAGTGATTCTTTGAGCATTTATAATTAGATGCCAATCTTTTTTTTTTTTTCTAGTTTATGGGAAGACTCCTTTGTGAAAGCCCCAATTGTGACTTAGGAAACTGAAGGAGCTTAAGGATACTTCTCATTGATGACTGTTCATTCCTCTTCCTCAAATCTAATGTTTGCAGGGCAGGGTAATCATTTGCAAGGGCAGTCAGAACAAAATACCAAAGACTGGATGGCTTAAACAACAAAAATGTATTTTCTCACAGTTCTGGAAGCTGGAAATCCAAGATCAAGGTGCTGACAGATTTGGTTCCCCCAAGGCCTCTCTCCTTGTCTTGCACATGGTCATCTTCTTGCTATGTTCTCACACTTGCCCTTCCTGCTCAATGTTCATCCCTGGTGTCTTTTCTTGAGTTTAAATGTCCTCTTCTTATAAAGACAGCAGTCAAATTGGATTAGGGTGCACTTCGTGACCTCATTTTAACTTCGTGACCTCATCACCTTGAGTGAGATGTAGAAAGGTCTGGTGCAGCCAGGGCAAGATGGCTCCTGAGGAGGTCGGGGTCAGGACCAGAACAAAGGAGCATGGAGAGGGTCTTCCACTGAGGTCAACTTCTTGCTTGATGAAAGGACACAAGTGGGGACCCAGTGAGACAGACACATCTGTACTTATTCTCCTAAGCAGGGGATCCAATAGAAAAACTAAAACAGACTTGTGGATGAGGGGAACTGTCCATCCGGCTAACAGAGCCGAGTCCGGCGAGGGACGGCGGGGTTAAAAATACACAGGACACCAAGGTTCTTCATCCAGGAGGGAGCGTGTGGGCGCTTTATTGCCAAATTTGTTCCCCTTATATATCTTTTTAACAGCTGCGGGAAATCACTCAAAAGTGAGGAGGGAAGAGTAATAACTGCGTCCTTGGGTTACCATCACGTCACCGTCCCCTATCAGGAGGCTCAAGATGTTCCCGAGAGACACAAATGCTCCAGGCAGATAAACAGGGAACCGCAAGCCCGAGTCATGGCCTTGTGAGCTGGCCACATTGACATGCATAACAAAGAACTGGGGGTTGAGTCCCCAGGGGCCAGGGCGGGCCTGCTACCAGCAGGGAACCAATCAATAATAGTGAGGAGAGCATGGACCAGGAGGAGATAAGGAAAGAAGGAAATTCCAGGTACCATAAAAAAAACTCCCCCACTGAATTCCCAGCTCCATGTCCCCTTCTCTTTAGAGAAATCCATCTCTGTGCCTTTTGCAATAAACCTGCTGCTTAATTGTGTCCATTGTGTCCTATTCTTCAATTCTTTGCTGAATGGAGACAATGAACCCAGCACCCCTAGGCAGTGACAATCTCTGAAGAGGTCTGTCTCTAAATAAGGTCACTTTCCAGTGTACTCAATGTTAGGACTTAAACATATGAATTTTGAAGGAACAAAATTGCCTATAACAAGTAGTTTCTAAACTGACCAACTTACTGGAAAAGTTTCAAGTAATAGTGCAATATTAAAGTAGATTCAAGGGTTGGGGCTGTGGCTCAGAGGTAGAGTGCTCGCCTACCAGGCATGAGGCACTGGGTTCCATCCCCAGCACCACATACAAATATGTGTCCACCTATAACTAAAAAATAAATATTTTTTAAATAAATAAATAAAGTAGATTCAAGAGCTGAGGTGGTGATGCATCCCTATAATCCCAGTGACCTGAGAAGCTGAAGCAGGAGGATGGTGAGAGACCCCAGCCCAATAACTTTAGGCCCAGTTACAAAATCATCAGGGCTTGCTTTTGCACCTGCACAGGCATCAGATGTGTTTTTCAGATAATCAGTTAAGTGTAACCGATTAGAAAAGAACAGGATGGTTGGGAAAGAACCGGCACGGTTGAGCAAACGGAAACATACAGTGAAAAACAAGTGGTTTTCATGTGGTTTCCAGGAACATACAGTGAAAAACAACCTTGCCTTTTAGGTAACCTATATGCTAGGTTCAAAGAGACCAGTAAGAAACCTGTTGCTTACCGCGCGCGCGAAACCTGCTCCTTTACCCTATAAAAGATCTGTGCCCCAAAGCCCTGTGTGCCAGTTCGCCGAAGCCCCGGCTGAGGTCTTGCTGAGCACCCGCAGGCGCCTGTGTATCAATAAATCGCCTCTTGCTTTTGCAGCCAGTGTCTCGTGTGCTTTTCCTTGGACAGGGAGTCGGAGGGTCTTTCATTTGGAGGTCCCACCGAGATTCCCCCTGCGCCCCCATCCGAATCCCTGCCCGAGGAACACCCGGCAACCACTGGGAGGTAAGCTGGCCAGCTCGTGTCATTTTGTGTTTCTTTTGTTCTATGTTTGCAGTCTTCGATCGTTATCTGTCTGTGCGCAGCGTCCGTACGATTACGCGTAGTCGCTCTGTTTTCTGGGAAGCTTGAGAAGGAGTTGACGAACTCGGACTTCTCCCCTGCCACCCTGGGAGACGTCCCAGGGATTCGGAGGGCCCAATTTTTGGGGCCTCAAGTGTTTTCAAAGAGTACACTGTTCTTGTGGGTGACGGAGTTCCTCCTCCCCCTAATCCAACAGATACTTTCGGTTTGTGCGTTCTTTGTGTCCTGTCTGATTTTTGTATCTGTCCCTTGCCTTTGTACTTTCTCATTCCACCTGAGACTAACATGGGACAATCTATAACAACTTCCTTGAGTCTTACTCTTGATCATTGGCAGGACGTCCGGAACCGGGCTAACAACCTGTCAGTGGAAATCAAAAAGAAAAGATGGATAACACTCTGCACCACGGAATGGCCAACGTTCGATGTTGGCTGGCCAAAAGAAGGGACATTTAACCTTGATCTTATTTTACAGGTGAAGTCTCGGGTTTTCACCCAAGGTCCTCAAGGACACCCCAATCAAGTGCCCTACATTGTTACTTGGGAAGATCTAGCCTCCGACCCACCTCCTTGGGTCGCCCCTTTCTCTCCACCTAAGCTTCCTCCCCGTTCTCCCCTTGAAGCCCCACCCCCACCTTCCGCTCCACTTATCCCGATACCCGCACCCCCTCCTCAAACCTCTAGGCTTTACCCTATTCTAGATAAACCCAAAAACGTGACTCCAGCAGGGACAAAACCCAAGAAGGTCTTACCACCAGAGGATTCAACTCTTATAGACCTGATGACTGAAGAACCCCCACCTTACCATCCCCAACCTCTACCAGCTCCAGATCCCATCCAGGTTTCCTCAGAAGAAGAAGAACAAGAGGGTCCAACTACCAATGCCCCTCCGGGCCCATCCCCCATGGTGGGGAGACTTCGCGGGCGCCGAGAACCTACCGCCCCAGGGGATGCTTCAAGGGCCTTCCCCTTGCGGCAGACGGGAGGTCCTAATGGCCAATATCAGTACTGGCCTTTCTCTGCCTCTGATCTTTATAACTGGAAAACCCACAATCCCTCCTTTACCAATGACCCTGTAGCCCTAACTTCCCTGATTGAATCTATTCTAGTGACTCATCAACCAACATGGGACGACTGTCAGCAGCTTTTGCAGACTCTTCTCACTTCAGAGGAGAGACGGGCTCTTAGAGGCCCGTAAAAATGTGCCGGGAGATGATGGGCGCCATACCCAACTCCCAAATTTGATCAATGAAGCTTTTCCCTTAATTCGACCGGATTGGGATTATAATACTGATGCAGGTAGGAACCACCTACGTCTCTATCACCAGTTACTCATAGCGGGTCTCCATGGAGCAGGGCGACGGCCCACCAATTTGGCCCAGGTAAGACAAACCACCCAGGGTTCGGAGGAAACTCCGACCACATTCCTAGAGAGACTAAAAGAAGCCTATCGGAGATACACTCCTTTCGACCCCGATAGTGAGGATCAGAAGGGAAACATATCTATGGCTTTCATTTGGCAATCCGCTCCAGATATTAGGACCAAGTTGCAAAGGTTAGACAACCTACAAGACTTTACTCTAGCGGACTTATTAAAGGAAGCAGAAAAGATTTTTAATAAGAGAGAAACCCCAGAGGAAAAGGAAGAAAGGATCAGAAAAATGCAGGAAGAAAGAGATCTTAAATTTAGAGAAGAGTTAGATAAGAGAGAAAGAGAAAAAGATTGAAAGCGTAATAAAGAATTAAGTAAGATATTGGCCACTGTAACTCAGGCAGGGCAACGAGGAGATAGAACAGGTAGGGAAAGGGAACGAGGCAGACCCCGTATAGACCGAGACCAATGTGCCTACTGCAAGGAGAAAGGACATTGGGTTAAGGACTGTCCAAAGAAACCCCCCAATACCCGAAGAGGTACTAACCGGACCCCTCAATTACTAGCCCTGGATGAAGATTAGGGGAGTCAGGGCCAGGAGCTCCCCCCTGAGCCCCGGGTAACTTTGCAAGTAGGGGGGCAACCTGTAACCTTCCTAGTAGATACTGGAGCCCAACATTCGGTGTTAACACGAACGCCAGGACCAATGAGCCACAAAACAACGTGGGTCCAAGGCGCCACTGGAAGCAAGCCGTACCGATGGACCCTCACCAATGTAGAGACAAATGCCCAATTAACTTTAGCTTCAGAACACCATCCTCTGAATACTTGGTGGCCAAACATGACCTTTGATCTATGTCAACTAGCAACAGGGTCTTGGCCGAATACAGATAGGACTCCAGGAGATTCTTACCCCCCCTTGTAGGTTCCGCTCATGGTACGTCTGTCCAGGATGGAAGCCATATTCTTGGACATGTGGCAGAATAAACCACTACTACTGCGGGTCATGGGGATGTGAAACCAGTTCAAATGGATACTGGCTAAAAGGGCACCCTAAGGAAGATTATGTATGGTTCTCTGAAACAACCCCAGGAGAGTCCAATATCACCCTTACATTTACCCTAAAAGGGCGCCAACAGATAAATTGGCTCATATGAAATACTTGGGGATTACGCCTTTATCATCCTAGCGGGGAAGATCCAGGGATTGTGTTCCGACTCAAGCTGGTTGCACAGGAGCCCCCTTCCCACTCGATACGACCAAATCAGGTACTCGGAGACCAAAAGGTCCCCTCCCTGCCTAAACAGCCCAAAGACTTAGAAGAAGTTCCCTCCAGTAAACCACCCGAGCATCAAACCTCTAGTTATACCCCTGAGCCCACTCACCCTAGGACTGGAGATCGATTGTTAAATTTGATTCAAGGAGCATTCTATGCCCTCAATGCCACCGACCCAAATCGCACCCAAGATTGTTGGTTGTGTCTCACCTCCAGCCCACCCTATTATGAAGGGATAGCAATTATGTCCAACTGGAACAGTAGTACAAACCCTGACCCTAAGTGTGTATCTCTACCAAGCTATAAGCTTACCATCACCGAAGTGACAGGACAAGGGGTCTGTATGGGGAACGTACCCCCATCACACCAACATCTCTGTAATATTACCCCCCAGTGACAGGCTCACAAAATAACAATTTGTGGGGTCCCCACAGAACTTACTGGGCCTGCAATACCGGACTGACCCCTTGTATTTCTACGGCAGTCCTCAATGCAACCACTGATTTTTGCGTGTTAATACAATTATGGCCTAAAATATCATATCTAGGGTCAGACTATGTCCTAGGACGCCTTGAGGGGCGGAAACGATACCCTAGAGAGCCCATCAGCATGACCATAGCTCTACTACTAGGAATTGGAGGAATAGCAGCCGGAATAGGAACAGGAACTGCCGCGATAATGCAAGGTAACCAATTATTGCAACTACAGGCAGCTATGAATGAGGATTTAACTGCAATGGCCAAGTCTATCACAGCCCTAGAGAAATCTCTCTCCTCCCTCTCAGAAGTTGTGTTACAGAATAGGAGAGGATTAGATCTGTTGTTCCTCAGAGAAGGTGGTCTTTGTGTAGCTCTACAAGAACAATGTTGCTTTTACGCTGACCATACAGGGGTAGTCTGGGAAACTATGGAAAAGGTCACTGAAAGGCTGGCCAAGAGACAGAAGGAATTTGAGGCTCAACAAGGATGGTTTGAACACTGGTTTAATAAATCCCATGGTTAACTACTTTGCTATCTACCATAGCAGGACCTTTAGTTATTTTGCTGTTACTCCTGACATTCGGACCTTGTATACTTAATAGACTAGTGCAGTTCATGAAAGAAAGACTTTCTATAATCCAGACTATGGTTCTAACTCAACAATACCAGTTGCTTAAACAACAAACAGGGTCACAAACAAGCTTAATCCAAGAACCTGAGCAAGCAGGACAATGGATATAAGATTCTATCCATGATAAAGAAAAAGGGGGGAATGAGAGACCCCAGCCCAATAACTTTAGGCCCAGTTACAAAATCATCAGGGCTTGCTTTTGCACCTGCACAGGCATCAGATGTGTTTTTCAGATAATCAGTTAAGTGTAACCGATTAGAAAAGAACAGGATGGTTGGGAAAGAACCGGCACGGTTGAGCAAACGGAAACATACAGTGAAAAACAAGTGGTTTTCATGTGGTTTCCAGGAACATACAGTGAAAAACAACCTTGCCTTTTAGGTAACCTATATGCTAGGTTCAAAGAGACCAGTAAGAAACCTGTTGCTTACCGCGCGCGCGAAACCTGCTCCTTTACCCTATAAAAGATCTGTGCCCCAAAGCCCTGTGTGCCAGTTCGCCGAAGCCCCGGCTGAGGTCTTGCTGAGCACCCGCAGGCGCCTGTGTATCAATAAATCGCCTCTTGCTTTTGCAGCCAGTGTCTCGTGTGCTTTTCCTTGGACAGGGAGTCGGAGGGTCTTTCAATGGCAAATTCAAATCCAATCTCAATCTCAGCAATTTAGTAAAACCCTTTCTCAAAATTAAAAAAAAAAAATATATATATATATATATATACATGTATATATATATATATATATATATATATATATATATATATAGAAAGCTGGTAGCACCCCTGGGTTCAATCCTCATTTACCAAAAGGAAAAAAAAAAAAAAGATTCAACCTCATCAATGACAAAGATGGGCAATTTCACTCTGGTTTTCTCATTTAGCTTTTGTGGTCAAGAGGGAAAAATAATATTAAGTAGCATAAATATGCATTTGCTTTCCAAGTTTCTAACTGGTTTTTCTCCTAGGCAAGGCCTAGGAATCAACAAAATAGTCCTAATCAAGTTCTACAATTATTTTGTTGTATTTATTGGAGTTGTATTTATTGAACCATGGAACTAAACCCCAAACCTGCTAGAATAATTTTCATATCCTTTTACATACACAATATATTGCAAATTTAACTAGATTACTATTAGAAAACTTAGATCTTGGTCTCATTGGGGAAATACATGACTGTTTGATATTATTCACATTTAGAAAATAGGAATGATACTTATCTTGTCTGTATCACTAGAAAGATATAAAAATAATGTATAAGGACACTAGTTCTAATCAATGAAAGACAACACTAAGGCAAGGTGAAATAATTAATAATTCAACCCCCCAAATTGGTGCAATTATATAAGAAATAAATTCATGACAGAAAATGTCACAATTTTTATGTAGTCTTCACCAGTTGAGTTTTATTTCAAGAATTATTGAATGAGTTTAGAAACAGTAGTGAGATGTATATGTACACCATTAAGCAAATGGCCCTTTCCATTAACTAAGAAAAGAAGAGGTAGGGGTTTAGGAAGGGAAGAAACTCAGGCATATTCTAATTTTGTTTTTCCTTTATGTATACATTTTTTTTGCATGAATTTCTTTGAATCCCAATCAACATTCCTTTTGTGACAAAAATGTATGAAACCAAGGGAATTTGAGAACTGGGCAAGTGTCTATGGCAACACAACATCCTATGGAATGACAGGGTGCATTAATCTGTGTTATCTGATGGCAAAGGAGGAGCTGGTGATGCCTAGAGAAAGGAGGCAATCAGCTCCAATTTGTCTTCTCTAAATAAGGATTCTCTTTCTCTCAATGGAAGTTCAGAGCTTTTCATTTTTGTCTTTCCTATCTGCATAAATGCTCACTGAGGAAGCATTTGACTTCGAGAAGATTCTCACAATTCATAATTGCTTTCTCTTTCTCTCTTGTTAGTTGCATGTTGTGAATCCTGTAGGAAGGCTGAGTTAACACTAATTATTTTAATCCTGATTTATTATTCAGCTTTGGAAATGTCAGTCTCCATATGCCTCTTTCTCTATACCTAAGTTTGAAGATTAGAGGTAAGATAAAGATAATATATTAAAATTTTCAATGAACAACGAATTCCGATATTATACAAACTCTTCCAGAGAATTAAAAAAAAAAAAAAAAAGGAAGACTAAGTCCCAAGTCCTTTTTATAAGTTAATAGAACCACAATATCAAAACAAGATTAAAGAACATACAGGAAGCTGGGCACTGTGGTGCAGGCCTCTGATGCCAGCTACTCAGGAGGCTAAAGCAGGAGAACAAGTTTGAAGCCAGCCTGGGTGGCTTTGTGAGACCCTGTTTCAAAATAAAGATAACAAAGGGGGTTAGCAGTGAGTTCAATGGCAGAGTGCTTGCCTAGCATGCATGAGGCCCTGGGTTTGATCCCAAGTACAGCAAAAAAAGAAAAAAATTGCAAGCCAATTACCTTTATGCCCATCAAAACAAGAATCAGAAACAATGTGTGTATTAGTTTCAAAATTTTGTTTATAAACAAAATATTAATGAACTAAATTATACACCATGACCAAAGTAAGATATAAAAATTATCTTTAAAAATATGATTGGTTTAACATCAGAAAAATATGGTTTGAGCACAAAATTTGCCTCATTTCCCTGAAGAAATTTCATTGTTAAATTATCATTCCCTTTTTAAATTATTAGGATTGCTTTAAGTAGAGTGTTGGATAAATACATCCTACCAACACTTTTAAATCTATGGAGAATATTTCAGGTTCAATTTATAGTCTTCCTATTTATATGGTTAATTCATGTCAGATAACATTCACTGAAAAGAAAGTGGGGAATGATAGTAGAACTCTCAATTTCATAGTCTTACAGTTTTGAAATTTCCATATGTAGCCAAATCCATAAAATATGCAGAAAGCAAAATTCCTGAACGTGTGTTGTGAAAGTTCCTTATTAGCTCATCTTCTAGAAATTAGTGCTTTATCATAATCACA